TCGAGGAGGAAGACGACGTGCTGCGGTCACTTTGTGAATCAAAGCCCCGTCTTTCCTTAGCCCAGAGGGTAGATCAGGAAATCCAGCTCTATAAAAGCTTGCCCTCCATCCCCTGCAGGGATAGCGCCACACTGTGGTGGTGGAACAAGCAAGATACGCTGCCCTTGCTATCTGGACTGGCTGAAAACTACCTCTGTGTGCAGGCTTCCTCCACCCCATCTGAGAGGGTGTTCTCCACGGCTGGAGACACCATAAGCGCTGAAAGATCCCGTATCCTTCCAGAAAAAGCAGATATGCTCATCTTTCTGCAAAAGAACTGTTAATTTTCCCTACTACTGTTTTATAATTAGTATTTTTTGTTATTTAAAATAGGTTATTATCCCATCATTTGTTATTAGACATTGTTGGTTATTAAGTTTGTTCTTGTATTCATTTTTCATTTAAACACAGATGTTACTCCAGTTTCACATTTCCTGTGGACATCTTGATCTTTTTGAGTTTGTAAGATTGTGCAATAGTTAAGTAAACAAAGTTGATTCTGATAATCAAACTGTTTGTTCTCCTTTTTCCCCCAAATTGGAATCGAAAAAAGAATCGATTAAGAATCGAATCGTTTCATAGAATCGAAAAGGGAATCGGAATCGTGAAAATCTTTTCAATTCCCAACCCTACCTGCAGCAGCAAGAGTTAGCCTGGCTTGTGGTTGTGTTTTCGTCGTCGCTCTGTTAGTACGTCATATGCTTCGTTGATCTGATTGGTTTATTTGGCCCGTCTATCACCAACATAGGCCAATCAGCTAACCAGTATTTTCGCCCCTTCCCAAAATTACTTCAACGGAAGGTTTCCAGATGGATATGCGGAGCAAATCCATCTGTGGAGTCAGGTTAGTAGAACTCAGGGCTATGTTTAACACTGAAAGTAGGAGCATTTCCACACGCACAATGCGAAGGGAACTCACGGGATTGGGACTGAACAGCTGTGTAGCCGTAAGAAAACCACTAATCAGTGAGGCTAACTGGAAAAAAAGGCTTCAGTTTGCTAGGGAGCATAAAGATTGGACTGTGGAGCAATGGAAGAAGGTCATGTGGTCTGATGAGTCCAGATTTACCCTGTTCCAGAGTAATTGGCCAATCAGGGTAAGAAGAGAGGCAGGTGAAGTGATGCACCCACCATGCCTAGTGCCTACTGTACAAGCCTGTGGGGGCGGTGTTATGATCTGGGGTTGCTGCAGTTGCTCAGGTCTAGGTTCAGCAACAGTATGTGCTCAAAGAATGAGGTCAACTGACTGCCTGAATATACTGAATGACCAGGTTATTCCATCAATGGACTTTTTCTTCCCTGATGGCACAGGCATATTCCAAGATGACAATACCAGAATTCATTGGGCTCAAAGACTGGTTCTAAGAACATGACTCATCATTTTCACACATGGATTGGCCACCACAGAGTCCAGACCTCAACCCCATTGAGAATCTTTGGGATGTGCTAGAGAGGGCTTTGCGCAGCGGTCAGACTCTACATCATCACTGCAAGATCTGGGTGAAAAATTAATGCAACACTGGATGGAAATAAATCTTTTGACATTGTAGAAGCTTATCGAAACAATGCCACAGCGAATGCGTGCTGTAATCAAAGCTAAAGGCGGTCCAACAAAGTATTAGAGTGAGTGACCTTTTTTTTGGCCAGGCAGTGTATATTAGTGGGGTTATAATACTGGATAAATAATGACAGATAATAGCAGATAAAAGATTTATACAGTTATAGTTGAGAAGTATGTGTAAGTGGTGTTGGATCCATTGATGTGTGTGTAAGGACAATCCATATGTTACTGTTGTTATTGTTTGATCATGACAAAGTAAGACTCTATATACCAAGCATCCGTCATCATTGGCTATAAATTGTCCTTTTGAAACCTAAAGGGCTGGTTATACTCCTGCAGCAGTGTGTCGCAGTTAGCTTGTCGTAGGTATGATGCAGATATTTTTGATTTATGCCCAATATTGAAGCGTTATTCCACCCCACAACGCCAGAGGGACACCAACTAGCTAGGATTGTGGGCGTCCGTGTGTCAGTTTGATGAGCTTGCTCACCGTCTACAATGCCTCATCCAACGCCAGACGTCACGCAGTTCACCCGTGAGTGTTCCCCAAAGACTGGCCGTGGTGCCGCGTGTTTTGGCTTCAGGTGCAAACCAACAGGCCGTCGCACAGAGCTACAAACTAGCGTCCTGTGCGGTGTCTGAGATGGTGTCCACGGACGTGCCAGGCATTGTAGACGGCACTACAGCCAGAGTTTCTGCCATTAGGTACCAAGCAGGAAATACACATAGTGTGGAACGGATGTAGAATTGACCAATCAGAGGCCTCCTTTCTCCCCTCCCTGCAACGCTATCTGCGGCACCGTCTGCGGTCACCTACAATTTTGGGAATTTGGGGCAGTGCATCCAGGGTGGGTTGGGGGGATTGCGTCAGTTGCGACAAACACGCAAATTAACTGGTTTCTGAGCGTAAACCAGGCTTTAATAGCAGTGCTGCACAGTGGCAGAGCAGAAGACAGAAACAGAACTGGCGCCATCGGCTGGCAGTAGCATCAAACTATCAGAAAACCAGCTGGCAGCTACTAAACAGAGCCTCACCGTCCTGGAGTGCTTTGCAGTAAAGCGGCAGCTTGTTTGGTCGAAGACCAACTAATATTGATTAAAAGAAGTGATCTACAGCAGATCAACTTCCTCCCCAGAGCCTCCTACCAGAACTTCAAGGGGAAAGAAAATTCCCAGTCGTCTTAGACTACGTTCACACCTAACACAATCTGAGCAGCAAAAAAGCTTCTGCTGCTTCATTTTTCATGCTTGTCCACATTAATGTCAGCCGTCCTGTAAAGTGAGTCCAGATGCTTCTGCTGCTCCTGTGTTCAATGCCAGAGAGCAGCTTTGCTATATTAGCTGTGATCAGCGGGTAGAAAGTAGTTAGAATCTATGTTGAAGTGAGAAAGTCCTCCTGAAAACATGGTCTGTGCAGTCAGTTCATCCAGATTACCATCCTGCCTTCAAAGATTATTTCTCTGTGGGAGCCGCTCAGACCCACACATACCGGCGCTGCGCTGTCACTGGGAATCCCCAGCAGCAGCTGCGTCAGGTCCGGGAGCCTCTTGGGGGTTTTCTCCTACTGTTGGTGGCGGCTGGAAGTAGATGTTAGCGTTTTTCAGGTCTGTGCTACAAACTGCAGGCAGCAAGATAATAAAAGCCAACATATTCTGCTGGCAGGTTTCTACATTTGAAGTTAATTTAGGCGTTAATAAACTGTTTCGGAGGAGTGATCATAGCGCTCTGCATCAGCAGTGCTGCGTCTGACTCCCTGCCAGCTCCCAGATCAGCTTCTCTCATTGGTTGATGTGGCGCGTCCAGCAGCTAAAGTTCAGTTTTTCCAACTCCAGCAGCTGCTGCTTCTGAAGCGCGTCACGCATGCGCAGTAGAGGACGCAGTGATGTCACAATCTGTTCAACATGGTTGAAAATAAAAACTTTGCATCATCATCCGCCGTGGTTGTTGTTTTTTATTCCTGCTTCTGTGTAGCAAGATGCAGAATAGTGACCTATGTCGTATTAATGACGTTCAGGTCGGATGAATGCGACCTTGCCGCTCAGAAACAGGTCGCTTTTGAAAAGATCAGATTCGTATCGGATTCAGGACCACAGAGCCAAGTGGCCTGGGTCGCAGTGGAAAAAATCGGATCTGTGCTGTTCATACTGCCATAAAAATATCGGATCCGGGTCGCATACGGGGAAAAAAAGTCGGATTTGGGTCACGTGAACCTATGCAACCAGAGTGAGCTAGTGGCGTCATCGTGCCCTTCTAAACCATCGGACCACTAAGCTTTAAATGTTTACATCAGCTGAGAATCTAAGTTTGATTTATTATTATTATTTTTTTTTTTACAAAAAGTCATATTTTATTAAAAGTAAATTACATTAAAGCCTTTTCACTACGTAGAATTGAGGAATGAAATGTTAACGTTTCTTATTAAAGGTACACTATGCAACCGCTGTTGATTTTCCAGCGAGGCTCCCCCCAGAGGGCGAAAGTAAAAGTGCACTGTCGTAAATATGCACAGCTGTTCTTCTGGTTTCTCCGTCAAGCCAGGCGCGGTTGTTTTGAGCTTAGCAGACAGGCGAACGCAACGAATGACTATGCATCTGACGCGCCGCAAACGCGCATCTGCTCGAGATGGAAAAATTGAATTTTTGCTGCTCGACGCACCGCGTCAACCAATCAGAGAAGCTGATCTGGGAGCTGGCAGGGAGAGAGACACAGCGCTGATGATCACTCCTCTTAAACAGTTTATTAACGCCTAAATTAACTTAAAATGCAGAAATCTGCCGGCAGAATATGTTCGCTTTTATTATCCTGCTGCCTGCAGTTTGGATTATTTAGATGAAAAACACCTACCAGCTGCCGCGGTGAACCGCGAGGAGGCGACCCAGCCAGAGGCTGCTGATGAAGGGATTCCTACTGTCGGCGCACCGCTGGTATGTGGGGGTCTGAGCGGCTCTGACAGAAAAAATATTGTAAGCCAAAGCAGCAAAGCTGCTTCAGCCGCGCGTCAGAACTAACTGGTACAAGCAGCAAAAATGAAGCAGCAGACGCGATTTTGCTGCGTCCGGTGTGAAAGCAGCACTGCACAAAGATCGCCACTGTGCTAGCAACGAGCATGCTTTTAACTGGGAGGTGTAGCAGTTCTCGCCGTAAAGCAAGACCGACTCTCGCGAGACTTCTGAGCCTGTGGGCGCGGGTCGGTGCTCCTGCAATTGCAAGTGCGGTATTTCCCCCACAGACCACCAGGGCGGCCGAGAATACCTTTGTTCAACCTAAAAATGACTCATTTAATCATCGAAAACGTTATGGAACACATTAATTAACTGAAAAATGTTGCATAGTGTGCCTTTAACTCTATCCTCTGTAATTAGTTCCAGAAACATTATTTTTATGCTTTGATTTACTGGAGAAAAACAGATTTTCATTTTCCATCTGCAGACATTTACAGATGGCTACCTGCAAAGAGGTTCCTCTGGCTTTTTTTCAGACGCTCAACAATTCCATTTACTTCAGAGGTAAGTGATGGCACACTTCTCTAGCTTTCCGATCTGTTGGATGTTTTTGTTGCTCCTGGGTAGATCAGAGCATTTTATTCATCCTGTTTGTCCGTTTACAGACAGTGAATGTGACAGCGGATGTGAAATCCAAGAAGGTAGCTTATTTATTAGCTTGTTTATTTTGATTGATCTCGAGTTGCTAAAAGATACGCCCCTACTGGCCGTGACTTGCCTAAAAAATATGCATCTTGTTCAGATTCTTTCCGGAACGCGAGAAAAACACCCAAATCCTGCTGGATTCAAAGCTTGGACCAAAAGTTCCTGGTGTTTAAAGCTCCTGGGAACCTGGAGTTCGAGAGCCGGACGCTGATTGAACAGAAAGAGCCTGGTAAGAGAACAACCCAACTCCTGTTGCTTTGCTGCGATGGTTTATCAAATGATTGACTTTAAAATAACCCAGTGTGGCTGTCTCTATGGAATACATTTTGATCCATTATTGTTTTAAATTTCAGTTCTTCAGATCGATTTTTACGGATTGCGTTCTTTTCTTTTCCACGAGTAAAGACGCATTTCTATTTTATATGTGAAGCGTGTTGGTTAGCATTTTACTACATCGGTCGAATCTATAGGAGGAGAGTCTGAAGTCGAGTCTGAAGTCATTAGAACGCGAGTACGGACTTTGCCAAATACAACAAAAAATGGCCATCGTCAGCCGCTGCAGACGGGCTGCCGTTAGCTTCGGAGCTCCGCTGGTGCCGCAGTCCTCTCAAGTTCGGAACATTTTCTTTTAAATTACGCATTTAATCTGTGAATGGGCGATATGGCGACACTTAAAAGTACAAGGTTCTCGCCTCAAATAATCTTGAAACTTACTTTTATTGAACAACAGCAACAGAAAAGAGAACATTTAACTTAGTACTCTAAGCTCTGTGAGTGCAAAAGATGGCCGCCAACCAATGTGCATAAGTTGACTCTCTAGGACACGCCCCCTCCTCATTTGCATAATGAGGCAGAATTGCATACAGAAATGTAAAAATGGCAGGCAGAAATGTAAAGGACAAAAAAAATAAGTAAGGTAAATATTACAAAGGCACATAAATAAAGAAGCCAATTAAAATAGTCATATACATTTATGTCTAACTTTATAATTAAATTTCTACTTACATTTATTTGTTTATTGTATTTTTGTTGGCAGTTAATTGTATGCTTATTTATTTATTGAGCATTTATTTATTTCTGTATTTATTTTTAAATATGGCAGAGTTGGTCCTCCATACTGGTCATTGGGGTGAAGTGAATAATCTGATTTGTGAAATGCTATTTGAAAGGAACGCAATTCGTAAAACTCAACCTGTAAAAGAGAGAAAAACAAAATCAAATTTCAATTGACAAAATGTGTTTCTTTCTTCCAAATTTCTATGTAATTTCTGTTTACTTGCTAAAATAATGGGGAAAAAAAATCATATATTTTCTTTTTTTTTATATAAACTTTTGTTTTGTTCCTAAACCTAAACCAGGGTTCTGCAACCTGCGTCCCCAGACCCGCATGTGGCTCTTTGGACTCTCTCTTAATAGTTGATGAAAGGGATAAAAAAGACCTAACTAATGTACAATAATAACAAATACCTGTTAGAAGCTTTAGTGTTTTTATAAAGAATATTTGAATTAAATTTTCACAACCGAGGGACATTTAAAGAACAAAGAAATATGTTTTCTGAGCCATTTTAGCTTTTAAATAACCAACTAAACTAACTAAAAATACTAAAAATGTCCTGTAGCAGATATTTAAGAAAAATATTAGGTCGTGTTTTATTAAAGAATCATATAATATTTGGTAGCTCTAAGCGACTTTTAATTAAGCATGCGTGCGGATGGGCCGTGGTTAGCGTGCACGACTCACGAGTGAGTGACTCGGGTTCAAATCCGACCTTTGCCACATGTCTACCCCCCCCATCCCCCCTTTCCTGTCAGTTTACTGAAAAAACAGCCACCAGTGCCGCAAAACTCAAAATCTCTCTGGATATAAGCATACAGGATATACATGTAATGTATGGAGGGCGATATATTGAATAAAATTGAATTATCTGGATAGTTAAAATGACTATTGCAGCCATTGAGTCCAAATTCGCATGATGACATTAAGCCGTCTGGATCGATTTCACTGAGAGTTTTATTTTTCCCACACACTTTCAATGCATCATAAATAGTGTTGCGCCAGTGCCCTTTTTTGGCCCAGATCCTGTTACCCCATACCTGGCTGTGCAGTATCGGCCCATACCAGAACTGCATACTACTTGGATGTAAAATAATTGCCATCATGGCTTTGTTAAGCTGCTGCCTACCTTTGTGAAGAAGGAAAAAGACTAAAACAAAGTGAATCCAGTAGAACTTTTTATTGCCTACCTGGACTTGGGGACAATAGTTGATATAAACTTCTGGCACTCAAAATGGTATCAATGCCCTATTTGTTGGTACTCGCTGATACCGCTGGATCGGGGCCCTGCCCGATACTGGTATTGGTATCGGTGCAGCACCAATCATAAATCCCTCCTCCAAACTGGATTATTTTCTCGCACACTACAGCAACTCCACAAACTAAACATGGCGACAGCAGGTGATTCAGCTGAGCGATATACGGCAGCGGTTTGGATTTCATGCCGAGGACGTCAAACAAAAGGCGCCAATTTGTAAAACCATTGCTGCAAAAGGAAGTATGGAAGCTCATTGGTAGAATTCCCTTATGACAGAAAGAAGGCCACGATTCACACCATTATATCATCCGGAGGGGGGACACATTTAATTACAAAACGAATTCATACAACTGTCTTAAACACTTACTTACATCTAGCAATGCTTCGTCAAAATTCAGTTATCCCCCAACCTTCAGTCCATTCTAGGCGGCATTTATAGTTTCCACGTCGCATTACGTAACTGCACATGCACAGGAATATCATGTCGAAAGCTTACTGGAATTCATGTGTGCTGGTTGATGCCAGCGGTCGATTTGACACTCGGAGGAATGTTTATACAGATGTTATCTGTTCTGCCAAAGACTCATACTTGACCTTCAGCATGTACTGTTTTGTTGCTAAGTAAGTATAGGGCCACGTGTGAGGATATATAAGACAATAAACTGCTTCTACAGAAGCAGTACAGATTTATTCCAGCACCTAAAAAGTCATGGGCTGCGGAATGAAGAATGTTATAAACTCTGCATGTCAGCGTCTCTCTGCTCGCCAATTAAAACGTTCAATCAATCAGCTGTGAAACGATGGCCTCGAGTTTGAAAAATCGATCCCATATGAGAGAAACGGGAAGAGATGGAGGGAAATCACAGACGATATTTATGACTTTATTTTAGTTTTTTTTAGATGCTCTAATACCTGTGATGTGATGGTCTGTGCTTCTCTAAACTTGGCAACGTTCTCAAATTTAAAACTTTGTGCTTCTTTAAAATTCCCAGCAGGCAAAGATCAATGCTGATAATTCTCTAATTTTTATTTCCACTTTTGTTTTTATAATTTAAGGTAATTTTCTTTTTTCATTCCGCAACTTTTTTTAATTATGCATAAAATAGCCCTTTTTTATTTTTTTATTTAGTATTGTTGTTTCCTGATTGGTTGCTGGGATCTTGTTAAAGGTTTAATTCTGACACCCAAAGACATTCTGTGACGGAAAAGCTTTGATCTGGTTGAAATAAAATAGAAAATAAAAAACATTTGAAACCAAAAGTTTGAATGAGTATCAGTGCAATTTTATGCACACTATTGTTTTTGAAAGTAATTGAAACATATTGTGATATATATCGTGTATCACAATTAGGGGTGGAACGGTTCATAAAATCCACGGTTCGGTTTCGTGCTCACGGTTTTCGGTTCGGTATATGTTGATTGTTAGCCTGACATGTTGGTCATGTTGCTGTTAGCATAAACAAAACGTGTTGCACAATGCTTGCACACTGTTGCACTTTTATCCACAACTTTCTTTCCGCCGTCATCGTAGGTCACTCTAAATGCAAAGTGGTGCCATACAGCAGACCTATAAAGTGCTGCTGGCGCGTCTTCCAACTCCTGTTCTTTCCCAATCGCCATACCCACACAATTCTCCACAACAACTTTTTTCCTGCTACACCCGGCTACGCTGCTTCGCTTCTTCTTCTTCTTGTTTACTACTGGTGGTTGGCTTTGGTCGCAGTACCTCCACCTTCTGCTCTGGAGTGTAAACGCTTCGCCTATGAGAAAAAGGAGCAGCGCATGAACCGAACGCAACACACACCAACCGAACCGAGACGGTCGAACCGAACGGTTTGCGCTCCGTATGAACATCTGAAGGTGAGAGTCGTTTGGTCTGTTTTTCCGCCAACTGTCCTGGTTTTAAGGTGTTTTGCCCACATGCAGACACAGACGGAGAACAAGGAGCAGTTTAAGATGTTTATTTAGGCTACAGGCAACTATGAATGGTTCAGAACGGGAGCCGCCGGCGATGTTCGGAAGCATCAGCGTTTGGGGCTCTGCGGGAGGAAAAGAGGAGACTGATTAAAACTAAGAAAGTTAGGGAGATCTGTGTTGTTGCTGAGGAGTTGGATGGCTGACAAATGGGTTGAGCAGACTGGAGACAACGTAAATGACAAGCAGGTGACCAGGATTCCAAACGAGACTCCGCCCTGTTAGGCCGGGGATTATGTTTTTGGAGCCAAGCCAAGCCCAACACCAGTAGAGAATGTTTAATAGAAAAAAACAAAAAAACGAAAGTAACTCTCTGTGGTTACCAGAGATAATTAACTCCAGAGGTTTAGTTTGATGAGTGATGAGCATTAACCGTTCCCCGTCCAAGGCAGTGACCTGGAGTGGTGCGGACAAAGGAACTGTCTCGATCTGAGGCTCCGAAACAAGTTAGTGGTCGATTAAATTAAGATCAGAACCAGAATCAACTAAGGCGGAAACATTTAAACTGTCTTGAGCCAAAACCATAGTAGCAGGAAGACAAAAGCGAGACGTATCGGGCCTACTGGTAAACATGGAAGGTGAAAACATATTTCGGTCCGTTGTCTTCCCCATCGTTTGGCCGCACCGGACAGGAGTTAACGTAGTGTCCAGGAGCTCCACAATAAAGACACAGATTATCTGTGATGCGTAGTTCTCGCTGTTCCTGGGTTAAGCAAACCCGACCAATCTGCATCAGTTCCGGAGGTGACAGGGGACCTTCCACGGGAAGTGATGGATTTGGCCTGTGTGTAGGGGGAACTGATGGCCGTATGGGTCTGTCTAATCGCCCCCAACTTCTACTGTGTAATCAGGCGTCCAACTGAACAGCAATGGCCCCTAAACCCTCAGAAGTCTCTGGCTCCTCAACTCGGTGTGGAATAAAAATTGAGCCCTGAGAGTAAGA